AGGTCGACAGTGGGGTGGCTGAGTGTGCCACTGCATTCCAGACTGGGCAGCAGAGTGAGACTCCAACTCAAAAAAAAAAAAAATAGAAGAATGATTTAGAAAAGTTCCACAAGGAGACAGAAAGACCTTACTTCTTGAGCAATGTGCTTTAGTGAGCACATGAATTCTCAGGGGATCTTGTTAAAATGCAGATTTTGATTCCCTAGGTCCAGGATGGGGCCTATGAGTCTGCATAACACATTTCCAGGTAATGTCAATGCTTCTGGTCTGAGAACCACACTTTTGAGTAGTAGAATTCTAGTCAAGTGTAACCTTATATTTTTAATTGTACTTTTTTTTGAGTTGGGGTCTTACTCTGTGACCCAGGCTGGAGTGCAGTGGCATGGTCATGGCTCACTACAGCCTTGACCTCCTGCGTTCAGGTGATCTTTCCACCTCAACCTCCCAAATACCTGGGACTACAGGCACGTACCATCACATCTGATTTTTTTTTCTTCTGTAGACAAGGTCTTATTATGTTGCCCAGGCTGGTCTCAAACTCCTGGGCTAAAGCAATCCTCTCGCCTTGGCCTCCCAGAGAGCTGGGACTACAAATGTAAGCCACTGTACCTGGCCTTTAATTGTACTTTCTACTAGTATTGTATATATACCATGTACTCCTGACCAGTGCTCTAAGGCAGTAGCCACATGTTGCTATTTAAATTTAATTAAGATCTTTAGTTCCTTAGTTGACTAACCAGATTTCAAATATTCAAGAGCCACAGGAAGCTTAAGTGACCACCACACTGAACAGCCCATGCATAAAAAAATTCTCCATGATCAAAGAAAGTTTTATTGGACAGCACTGCTTCAGACAGAGGAAACTATTTCTAGTTCTCTAGGCTTCACTGTTATTATATCTTTCCTCACTATGGTCTTTAACGGGGGACACATATTATCTTCATCTGCTAAGATCAAATGCATCTTTTAAGAATTATCTCAGGTCCACTCCTTCTATGGGACTCTTCCCAAAACTCAAACTAGGTATACTTTCAGCTTCCTTTAAATTCACAATCCATATCTGGTTTTCTTAGGTAACATATTTCTACTGTATTCTGCTTACCTGGTATCCAAGGTATCCTAACATCCAACTCCCATTTCCCTGGTTGTAGAATTCCATTCTCTTTGGGTTGAGGGTAGAACACTATTTCTCACCCATTTGTTCATATGATTCAGTTGAATCTAACTCTATACTCCCAGTCACAACCATTAGCACATGAACTGGATGAGAGCCAGTGACATTCTGGACATCTACTGAAAAAAATCAGATAAAGGTGCCCTTTCCGCTGGGGTCTCTAAGCTGTCAGGATGCAAGTCTGGATCTACTGGCAGCCATCTTGCCATCCAATAGGCAGACCTTGCCCAAGAATGAGGACAACTCAAAGGAAAGCAAAACCAAGAAGTAAAGACAGAGCCTGAAGACATCTCACACTTGACTGTAGCTGTATCTGGAGTGTTCTCTAGCTACCCTTGAATGTTAATTACTGGGGACCATTTCCTACTTTTGCTTAAGCCAGTTTGTATTGAAAGGGTCTTGCCCTTTACAATCTCTTAAGGAATTTGCTTTCTGCTTCAAAATATGGTAGTAACATGGTACTTGCTAATTCTCTCTACTCCCCTTTGGTCCAAACCTTCCCATTCAAAATCACAACTGCCCCTTGTTGGTTTTATGTTGAAGGTTTGTAGGAGACACTGTGAACATATAACCACCTAAATTTTTCTTTAGCAATTTCAATACTCAAATTATTTTAACAAGTGGATGATCAAATTTTATGGAGTTAAAGACCTAATTTTCATTACTTGCCAATAAAATCTATTTTATTAATTTATCTAGATTTTTACACTCCTGTATATACATATTATAAATTGTTAATTTATAACATTGGTTAATTTATTTACTGCATAAGTCACCCAAATCAAACCTAGATTCCTAGTTAGCATGTTCTGCTTACCTAACACATTTGCACCTCCAGGATATTTATCTTTCAACCATACCTACCTGCCCTAAAGCTGTGTCCTAGTGTGGGCCAGTGGCCTGGAGGGTGCCTCCAGATCTCACTCTTCCAACTTACCCTACCTTTTGGACCAACTCACATGGTTTCTCTTAGCTGTTTGTCTTAGCTTAGTCCCCTTCACAACTTTGTCCTGCTCAGAGATGGGAATCTGACCACAACCTGCCTACCTCCTAATTAGCTCAGAAGGCTCCACTGACTTGAGTGCTGGGAAGGTTCCTAAAATCCAGCCTCAAAGATGTTCCTAATCCAGATGTGAAACTCACCACTACTCATCTGCCACCTGCTTTTTCAAACTACCATTTGTAACTAGAACTGGGCTAAAGAAAGAGCAATTCATTCACGAAGAAACAAAGACAGGACCTCACTACTCCACCCCTACCCCTTTTTTTTATGTTTCAATATATGTGTTTAAGAACCACTCCAGAGGACCATGAACATGATAAGATTATCTTTTATTAGAGATCTTATATTACATATTCCCAAAAAGATATAAAATCTTCCAAGAGAAAATATCAAAACCTGTTGATTCCAAGGTGAGCAAAATGATTAAAATGAAAGCAAATATTTTCTTCCAGACAAAGGAATGTAAAAATATTTCAACACAAGTACAACAAAGACATGGGAAGATAATTACAATGTTTTACAACACATTTTACAGCATTTTATTTTAATCAGTATTTGTAGAAAACAAGGATGCTGAGTTCTTGAACATTTGCAGCCATAATTTCAAATTAAAATTTCCAAAAAAACCCAAAAAACAAAACAGAGACAAAGCAAAGCATGAACTACTTGGTCAACTGAACATCTGTGATAATAATAAATGCAACAAAACCTAACCAAATAAATATGCCACTGAGATCACATAACTGAAGTGTATGGTTTTTAGTGTGTGTAGTGGGGACACTACATTATTTAATCAGTTCTTGACCACTACCCAATGCAAAAGCAGCCTCTCTTCATTTCCCTGATGATTTATTCTAAAAATAACCTCAACAAGCAGAAACTTGCTGGTTTAAGAGAATTTCTGCTTTACCTGTGAACAGTCGGTGGCAACACACACTGAATAGAACCCTGACTGATATGTAACACATCCATCTCAAACAACCAGAAGTGGCAAAACCACTGTTATTGCATCAAGATTTTTTTTATGTCATCTGATCAGAATTTCCAGAATTATTAAGCACATCCATTTAACCACAGAACACAATGAACTCCCATAGGAAGGTTTTACATTTAAGATGCAATGAAAATGCTGATCTTATTTCTGGAATTTGCTTCTAGCAACTCTAACATCTGCAGATGTCCACAAAAAGGAAGTATTTTTTTTTCCTTTTTTAGTTTTTTGTTCCCAAAAAACGAGGAAGAAAATGTACAGTACATGTTTATTGCATGAAATTATCCCCTTGTAATATCCTTATCAACACTGGTATCATTTCCTTAATTATTAAAGGCGAAGGAGTTTATGAATCTAACATAACAATAACCTTAGGAGCTGCATCTTGAGTAAAAATCCAGATGATAATCCAACTATATGGTGAAAGAGAAATTAGGTTTTAACTTCTCTATAAAGATATTGGGATGACAAGAGGTAAATGGAAGCTTAAAGTCACCTAATACTAACTCAAAGAGAATTTTCAAAACTGCACAAACTCAAAAACTCCATTCTATGCTGAAATGGAATATTCTAAACATTGCTGTTATTTTAATGTTAATGAAAAAATGATTTGAAATAAATTTTATTAAGAGTATTCTAATGGCACATGGATTGATAACTTCATTTTGAGGTTAGCACTCAAGAAAGTTTGGAAATAAATGAACAAACATATTCGTTACTAAGATAAATCATGATGAGCTACATAAAAGTGAGTTTCAAAACAGGGTCTATTTTAAAGCATCCTCTCTTTAATATAGCTAACTACTGAGAAATGGAAACAGAATCTGGATTTTGAATGTTACAAAATCCTTGCTTCAAGTTGCAGTTTCCTTGGCAGCAGCATATTTTAATTAACAATATTTTTCTTCCTTGTTTTGTTTTCTGACATCTCAGTACATTCAAATAGTCAAAATGTTTAGAGTAACATCACCACAAATTTAATGAAACAGATCAGAATGTGGCCAGCATTGTCAGAAAAAAATTACACAATTTGTGTGTCATAGAAAGCACCCACCCTCTCCCCAGCCCACCCATTGTCCCCTCTTCCCCAACAGTAATATGGACACCAAAAGATTTAACAAGACTCATAAAAAAATAAGGCACATTTATTTTGATATGGTAATTTAAAAATAGAAAACCCCATCTCAGAACACCTGTATTCAAATGAGCTGTGTAAAAAGACACCTTGTGGTACCTAAAATAGGTTTACGGTACCTCTGGAATTGCTTCTTCTACTTTAGTGACAATGGAATAAATTGCACCTATCCCACATTGTCAAGTAATGAAAATATGCCTCTTTTTCTACTGCTGATTCAAAAATCAGATACTTCTGGAGATACTTACACAGGATGGGAAGAGAAGGGTCAAGGGGTTCATCAGAAAAAGGTGAAAATCAACTATGTTTATCATAAGAGTTGATGGATTGCACTTTTCCACTTATTTCTACACAAAATTTCTTTAATTGTATGAATGATCGCAACCATTTTGGCCATTAGCTATTACTCACCAGCATTTTATTCCAGTTCGGTCAAACAGGTGTTTTTGTAAAACTAATGAAGGATCAACAACACAAATACTTATAATCTTTTCACAACCCCCAACACAGACATAATTAGCATTTAACCTGAGATACACTCTGTTGGGAGGTTGTCACTAAGTATTTCTTCGCTCGTTGCATTAATTCATACTGATGGTGGCAGTTCATGGAAAGAACTTAAAAAAAATCAAAAGAAATCAAAAGAAACCAAAAAAAAGAAATAAAAAAGATGATAACATGGCTTTGTTTTTTTTTTTTACTGTACTGGTTTAAAAAAAAAAAAATCACAGAATTCATGTTCTCACAGTAGCCAGAAGCTAAAATAATGTGCTTCTTTATTGCACGTCAAACCAAGAAAGATGTCAAAGCCAATGATTCCCAATCCAAATCTGAAAGTCAGGTTCACCTTAACCGGATTCGGAATGTGCTGATTTCCATTGGACTCAAGTTGATCTCGCTTAAGTTTTGGGCACCTGGAGGTGTGTGCATCAAGGATAATGATGAAGGTGTGATACTTTCAACAATAAACTTGTTAAAAAGTTTCTGTACCAGCATCTAAAAAGTAAATGATAAAGTATTTGCATATTTAAATCAACTCTGAAGAAATATAAGCATATCATCTATTTTATATTCGGTGAAAAATAGTATGGGAAGGAATAAGACAATATGTAGAAGTTCTTCTAAAAAATAATAAAGGGGGATTAAATATACATATATACATGCTTGAACATAAAGACCATCACTGGAAGGGAACACCGGAAACTGGTAACAGTCATGGGTGACTTGTTTTGCACTCCCTTCTGTACTGTCTGAGAATTTTTTCATGTGCAGGGCTACTTAAAAGAAAGGACATCTCCAGTCCAAAAAGCTTTGAAAAACATCCTTATCCTCCCCCAGTCAATACTTAACCCTAACAATGGTGCTTCTCAACCATTTTTTCCTGTTCTAACAGAGTTGAAAGAGAGGACACAGGCTCATGAAAGGAAGGCTCATTATGTTACGGAGTCCCAGCCTACAGGGTGGCAAGGTCATTTGGAAAGTAATTCCTTCACCCCTGCCATGTTATCTTAATATGTCTCTCTGGCTCATACAACCCCTTAAGACTCAAGGCCTTAATGTCAGAATGTCCACAACCAGATATACTCAGCATCAACAATATGGTAGAATGCACATATTACAATGAAAAAATAACAAAAACGTCAGTGCTTTCCTGGCGTCAATTCCAAACAGGGTGAGGTAAAAAACAGAAAAGCTAATCTATCTAAGTAGATTCAGGGCCCCTATCAGATTTTCTTTTCAAATCCCACACATGTGCTAATTTGTAGGGTGGGAATTGAATCACTAGAAGACTGGGTCAGCTGAGATGCCTGGTGGAGCAGATTGGCCCGTGTGTCAGAACCAGACCAGCTGCCTTCTCTGAGTCATGGGGCCCACTCAGAGACAGAGACAGGAGATTGGAAGTTTGTTTCCTTCCTGGGACAGGACTGATGGAAATGCCAGCAAGACCAATTTGAAGAGAAATCCAAAACAGGCAGCCAGCAAGCAGTGTGCAGCCCGAGGAGGATCTGTTTGGCTTGCACAGTGTTGACTCATACGGAAATCTGGATTAATCAGAAGATCTAGACCTAATTTCCCAAGAGAAAACAATGTCTCAATGTCTCCAGTTGCTTCTTTATAGCTACCACAATGAGCTTCAGTTATTATAAACTGGTCTTGGCCTTTGCAGAACTTTGGTTTAGCACCACTGAACTAGATGGTACATAAGCATGTGTGATCTGGGGAAGAAAGGAAGTAGGGAGAAGATGCTTTGTAGGTTGGGGATGGAAGGCCTAAGAAATGACAAGAGCAATGCCTTCACATTTGTGCAGGTTCCAGCTATGCATTTTGATTCTGACATGGAAAGGAGATTGAAGTTTGAGCAAGTACATTCTTAGAATGAGGGCATTTGAGCTAATTTGCAGGCTGAAAGAAATGAATCAGTAAAGAGGCAATGAAATGTGACCTTATTGTCAGGATTCTTTGAGGAAAACGAGGATTTCAAAGCACACTAACTCGATAAGCAAAAATAACCTTTAAACTTACCTTTCCCTGAGTAGTAGAACAAAGCAGCCCCGTATCTTTGCTAGAGAACTGACAATCAAATCCTTTCCTGTGGAGGATCAAGGCTGCCTCATCGGAAAATCCACTGCCCACCTGTAAATGAACAAAATGATGCCACACCACACAGACATTAAAGCAAATATTTATAGTACTTCACACACTGCTGCCTTGCTGTCAGCATCCAAAAGCACTTTTATTTGGTGATGAAGTTGTGCACATTCGTCTCCCCTCGGGTTCCATGCTCACTGCGCCTATCCACCTGCTACATACTCTCCCCACCCGCACTGAGTGAGCCAGGTGAGACTGCTTTCAGGTTACTTGTTCAGTAACTCCATACCTCGGTTTCCCCCATAGTCCCTGAGGACTTAGGTTTCCTTTTGTCCTCATAATGTATAGTGTTTTTCCAAAGTTTCTTCAAATAAAGTGTTTCATTTTTCTTTTATATATTTTTTAACTTACACATCAGTTGTACCTGAATTTAGTACTTAACTGGTCAATGAATGATATACCATCTGTCATAAAAGTCAAACATGCTTCCTTATTGAATATTCACTTTTGCTAATTGCAATAACATTCTTAGCAGTTAATGTATTAGTTCATTATTTTTATACAGGAGACATTTGAATTGAATTAGTTATGCTTTTCATTTGTTAGGACAGCCCATATTTATTAGTTTGATGTATTATTTAAATTCACATTCCAGAAGCTATTAACATGAGTAAGTAAAAGAAAACTACTAAACATAACAATCAGCTATGGGAGTTAGTATACATTTTCTTGCAATAAAGTTTCTCACATCTATTTAAATAACAATGTCATGAATGGCTCAGGTCTTTGAATATATTAAGTTACAATTACTTTAATACATCTTATGTTTCCTAGAGTGGGAAGATGTTTATGATAATAAACAATGAATTAAAAATCTTTCAAAAAATGACGAAATGTACAGTTATTAAAAAGAGAGTCATGTGCTGCTCAGTACTGACACGGTGATAAAAATGATCCCTTTCTCTGTTCTCTAGCCACAGATATGAATGTGCCCAATCTCTTGATCACACTCACTAGGAGATAAATTTTTTAATGCACTATAGAGACATCTTTTCTGAGTAGCTGCCAACATCTCCACCACTGATTTGATTTTAATGTGCCTGAACAGTTTAAAGCTGTCCTCACCTCAGATTCTTGGCTGAAATAACCTATGTTATGATGTTTCACACTGGTATTTTGCAGTGGTACTGCTAAGATTTTGTTTGAAGGGAAATAAAAAAGCCATCTAAGGAATTTTGAGTCATCACAAGACCACATGATACACACAGCAAATTTAAATCATATGATGAAAATTTCTAATGAATTTCAGTAAATTTCAAACACTCCCCCATGCAGTTCAAAAACAGCACATAGGAAAATCCTTAATTTATCTTTAGATCTCCAAAAGAATAACAAAGTAAATACTAACATATGCCAACGGTAAAACCTTGGGACAGTCATTTATTCTTCCTAAGTATCAATTTCTTTGTAAAATGGAGCTAATGCTTACCTGTCTCCTTCATGGAGTATTAGGTTGATTAATCCACTGAAAATACTATGTAAGGTTGTAACAAAGAATCCTGCTTTGAACCTTTTTTAAATTATTCATCCATTTTTAAAAACTGTTTTTCTTCTCCTTCCTTGGTCCTTCCTCTTCCTTCCTTCATACTTTTTCTTGTACCAAGGCTTTGCAAACAAACACATGTTTATCTGACCATATGCTTACAGAAGAATTCTATAGGCTACTCTTAAAACACACCTGGAATGGAGTTTTGACTGCAGAATCCTCCTGCTTAGGGAGAGCCATGAGGTGGTTAATCCATAAGCTGACTGCAGCTAAGATAACACCAACCAGACCAGCAGGAGGACTATCACTCAAGACATGCCACTGCGATAAGACGTGCAGACCTGCGCCCTATGCTACTTTTGCATGTTCCCATACCAAGTTTCCCTTTAAAAACCTCATCAGTCTGAAAATTTGAAATAGTTCTTGCAACTTCAGTCTGCCATCTCCTCAGATGGCTGGCTCCTGAATAAAACTTATTTTTCCTTCCACTAATTCTCATTTGGCTTTCAGGTGGTGAGCTACTGAACCTGGGTTTGGTTATGAAGTAGCCTCACATAGCCCTGTAGGACATAATGTGCTAGTGCTGGAGCTGTAGAGATGAGTGTAGGGAGCTTGACTGGAAAGTCAGATGGTCTGAGATCTGGATCCTGGCTCTCCAATTTACTAGCTGCAAATTTTAGCAAAATCCGGTTTTCTTTTTCCATAAAATGGAGATGAAATGAAATGAAATGAAATAGCTTAATGAAGACTTCCTGATACACAGGAAGTCCTTAGTATGTTAGATGTTATTATTTCTTTCAATGAAATTCACCAAATAAATATTATTTTCATCAAACATTAAACAATATTCTTACTTAGCTTCTTATTCATAAATTTCCTTGACTGATGGTACAACTTTGTAGCTAAAGAATCAGGGAACTCCCAAATCAAATGTCTACAATTGTTTGTCAAAATCACAACAATGGCCGGGCTCAGTGGCTCAGCCTGTAATCCCGTGCCTTTGGGAGGCTGAGGTGAGTG